CCTCTAAAAGAAATTTTACAGAAGTTGCTGAACCCGATAAACATGGTCGAAAAACACCTCACCAAAAAATGCAATTATTGCCAGAAGACTGTGTTGATTCAAGTTGACCGATTAAAAGGCCATTTATTCCAAAATATAAGAGATTCATTAAAAATTCAAGATCAGGATTCTGGTTCAAATAACGATGTACAATTAGATAAATTGGATGTTGGATAGTATATTAGCAAGGTTTTTTTTATTCGGCTAGTATTCCTTTTATTACTGGGTCTTTTATTATTTTAGATCCTATAGTATACCCGGGTCTTTTATCATTTTAAATTCTATAGTATACCCGGGTCTTTTATCTTTACAAAAATCTTAACCTATATTGTAGACCCGGGGATGATATATGGTGGGTTTACTATTATGGGGTCTTTTATATAGCCGTTTACAGTAGTATTATAATCATTTTGATCTAATACAAAATTTTTAATTTAATATATAATGATAACAAAGGTTTAAGTTTGATAATAGGTTTTTTTTTATATAATACTATATAAATTTTAGTTATATATATAATTTTGAATTTTGTAATTAATATAATTAGCTATTATTAGCCAGCTGATTAGATTATTAGTTAGCTAAGTGATTGGCTAAGTGGCTAACTTAATCAGTTTAAAATACTATTAATAGTGATCTACAAATTTGATCAAAAATAATTTTTTTTTTTTTTTGGCTATCTTGCCTTTATTAAATAAAGAATATGTATACTATTATACAAAGGTTTTAAACTATTACTCTCAACTCTTCTTTTTCTGCAATAAAAGCTTACCCGGCTGCCTTAAGGTGCTCAAATGCAATCTGCTATAGCAACTATTTTCCTTCCCTTTAGCTTCCAACTTCCTGAAAATAATCTTCTGGATTTGTAGATAGCAGTTGCTAACCTCATTAGGATTGCTTATATAGGTTTTCAGATACATGATCTATATAGACCCTACCAAGCCAGTTTGATGTTATACTATACTAGATCTTGCATATGCTTTCTTACTTTTTTCCATATCTTGTCTTCTTTAACTTCCTGATCTGATTGACTTGTTTTTGCTAGCTTCTTTTGCTTTTTTCTGCTACTAGACTTTTTCTTTTCTTTTTTTCTTTTTTTTTTTTTTTATTAGAATTCCATTTTCTTTTTCCTATTTGTTAACAACTTCGCATCTAAATACCCAAATTATCTCTTTAAAATCTTTTTTCAGGAGATATAAGTACTGTTTTCTGAGGCTTTTTTATTTTTTACTTATTCCAGCCTACTTATAAAAAAACCCTCCTATACAATTTAATCTGTTAGTTTTTCTTTGCATAGCCATATGCCCAATTAGTATTTCTATCTTACTTCTCGAAGATACATTTTTTCTCTTTGATGTTTTATCTGCTACTTGTTGTTTTTTTATCACTAACTCTGTAGCCTTCTTCTCTATTTTTTTCCAAAAATCTTTATAAATATCATATTGGGCTAGATGATTATATCTTCTTTTTTTTTACAACAAACTATATATATACTGCTTAAGTATAGGTCTGGTCTTCTCCGATTTAAAATACTCAGGGTTGGCAATAGTTTATTTAAACTCTTTATATCAAATACCTATTCTCTACTGTTTTTCATACTTCTACAGTAGTGATCTGTGTTCCTTCTTATATTACCTCAGACTCCTTTTTAATCTATTTTTGCATCTGTTATCTAACTACTCTTTATACATTTTATACTACTTGTTTGTAACTATTCTATGCTATAATATATATTTATAATGCTATCTACTATTTCTCTAACTAGTATATCTATTATACATTGTTCCTATCTAAATATCATTTTTAGAATTTTTGACCATTCTATATTCAATTCCAAGATTTCATCAAGTTTAGCACCCTCCTTTGCTAACTTGTCTGCTTGTTTATTAAAGTATATGCCGCTGTGACTTTTAACTTTAATCAATTTTATCTCTAGCTTCTTTTCCAACACTATATTTGTAATTATTACTAATATACTACTATTTTTAATCTTGGATATTTTGGGTCTTCTTTGGCCAAATTGAACTTTCTGAATCATACTAATTACATTAGCACTATCAGTATATATTTTGACTCTACATCTGTGTGGAACCACTAGTAAGGCTGTACCAATTGCTTCTAACTCTGCCTAGATTGAAAAAGGCCAGTCTTTAATTGCTTCTTTGAATTGCCATATTATTGAAGGTTCATTAGAATTTGGTTCGCTAATAATTAGCTAGCCTATTCTCATCTTTTTTTGATATAAATTACTCTCTGCAATTTCTAATACCAAAAATATTTTTTTTTGAAATTGCAATAAATGCAAAATAACTTATTAAACACTTATTGTAATTACCAGAATAGCAATTATTTTCTGTAACAGAATTATTTATATAAATCACAACAATCTCACAAACTAACTAATTTTAATCACATATTAATACAGTTAACTCTCTTTAAACTGAACCTGGATAAACTGAACACTTAATAAACTCTGTGAAAACTGAACATAAAGCTTCAGAACATTTGTAAAATTTATTATTAAGTTCGGATTAGCAATATAATAACTCTTTGTAAACTGAACTTTTAAATATTTTTACATATAAGAACCTGCTATTCGGTTTAAAGAGAGTTGACTATAGTTACTAAAATAGTAAGTAATTCTATAATAGAATTATTTACAATAACTCCCGATAGAAATCATGACAATTTTAATGCAAACTAACTCAAACTTAACTATATGAGTGTTACCAAAAGAAATCTGACAATTTAAATATAGACTATATTTAAATTCTTTTGGCAATACTCATATTACATTTACTAGAACAGTGAATAAGTTCTATAACAAGAAACTGTTTATATTAATTCATGATAGAAAACAAAAAATAATTTGATTTACAGGTATTTCTTTTTGACTAATAAAAATCATACTGGTACCAATTAAAATATGAAGTATTTTAATTTACAATTTTGAAGAAAATAAAGTCTAACATTGACAGATCAAAAATCCTCTACTTTTATGTAAAAAAACCACAATTTTCGCTAAACCACTAAAATAAGCTATAGCAAGTATTAGTAATTACAGCAAATATCGGTAATTACAGCAAATGTTAGTAGTTACAGCAAATAGCAGTAGTTACGGCAAACGTTAGTAGTTACAACAAACATCAGTAGTTATGGCAAATGTTAGTAGTTATGACCTATGTTGTTACGACACTTTTGACGTGATGACATATTAGTTGAACATAAACATACGTCTTCAAATATCTGCATCTATAGTTTCTAGTAAATAATTAAGTTAGAGTGAGGGTTAGAATTAGAGTTTTTATATATTATAATTTTATAATATTTCTATACACAGGTTAAAAGATGGCAAATCAGGTACAAATCAGATACCCAATTTTAAACTGATTACTATATACTTGATTATTGCCTAATTTATATATATTTTTGTACCAAATTTTTGGTACAAAAATATACATAAATCAGGCAGGTAGTAATCAGTTTAAAATTGGGTATCTGATTTGTACCTGATTTGCCATCTTTCAACCTGTGATATTGCCCACCTATACTATAGAAGATCTATTTTTACTACTGTATATAATTTCTTTTTAAAAGTTGTAAAGTTGGTATGTTTATTTGCTAGAATTTTGGTACACTACTAGCAGTGAGTAGTTATTTGGTTTAAAAATATTATTAGCTAGATAATACCAATGAGAACTTAAGATTATTGCTAAATACAATTTTATATTTAAATTTGCCTATAACGTTTAAAGATTTCCCCAAAGTATTTAAGCTCGATTCTTTTTCTATTTTTTTATAGATTAGAATCATCGAAGAATGATCTGGTAGATTTTTTGTCATTATTATAAACCGAGCATTGAGAAACTAAAAATATGTGATATATTGTATTTTGCGATAGGTTTGATGTTTGCAATGTTGGTGATACTGTATATGGGATTGATGGTGTTAATAGAAAAATTTCAACCGTTTCAAAAACTTTTAAATCGAAGTTATATCGTTGAATTTATCAAACTTACAATTTTGAATATAGTAAAATATAAAGTCAATTAATAAACCTGTAACTCTAATTATGGCCTGCATATGGCAAAAAATTCTTGTTTTAACTTAAATATTCGTAAAAAAACAACTAAACCCATGTTTATCTTGTTTAACCTGTTAATTTATTCTAAGCGGGCAAAAAAACATGTGTATCATCATGATAAAGTCGTTTAAATAAGGTATATATATATATATATATATATATAAAACGTGCGAATAACAGAATATAGGTGATTTTTGTGAAAAACAATAGAAATTAAGAATATGAATTATCAGTCAAAGATGATGATGAGTAAATGAATTTGGAAGAGTGCTGTAAATATTTATAGCATGATTGATAAGTTAAACAAAACTCTGTGCATTAGGATCCGAAACTATAAAGTTTTGTAAGAAAGTTGACGGATATTCTTATCAGAAGAAAGTTATAATAATCAAGATTTTTTCGCTTATTACTGAAGCAATTGTCGTAACAACTAAAAAAAAAAAAAAAGATCAAGAAAGAATCTAATAACGTAATATTTAGCCGCGAATAGGTCGTTATATTGTAACTGAACACAAAAAAAAAACTCTTCAAAGTAGGATCTTATAATTATTAAAACAATAACTACCGACTATCGTTTCATGTGGATCACGGAATTATTCGGTCGACTCCCAGTACATCTTCGATAAGTATTTCACATTAATTTGATGAGTACTGTATAAAAGATATTTAAGTTTATTAATATTATCTACTATTATGCAAATATTAATCAATTTCACTTGTGTTAACTTGCATCGAGAAAATTAAAGTTGAATAATAAATAAGCCTTTGACCATGTAACAGTGTAAAAAATTATTTTATTTAACAAAAAGTAGCACATAAAATCGATATCTCAATTGATAGTGCTAATGCTACTATTGATCTATTAAACAAATTTTTTTCATAATGATACTAAAGATTTCACAACCTTAAAATACAATATATATAATAAAATTTAATTATTTTCTTTTGCCATAAATTTACGATGACTACGCTGCAAAACTTCTACAGAATTTAACAAATAATTAAAATCACGTTTAGTGACAATAAAAATGGATTCCAAATCAGCATTTACATCAAATAAACTATTTTCATATCTTCTTAAATTCTTAATAATTTCATCTAAACGATAAGCTGCACTTCTAAGATGAACTAAAATGTTATTAACTATAGCTAATCCATCTTGGGCTTTCCTCAAATCGACTGAATCAGGCCTCCAGTAACCACTTGCTTCCACAAACTT